AGTCTTGTGCACCAGCACTCGCGAATCCGAATGAGAGCTCTTCGCGCACTCACACTGGTGCTTTCTTGTGGCTTGTACAAGTACAACGGCGAAATTGTTCACATGCTGGCTGGCTGGCGGGACCCCAACATAGTCCCGATCAAGAGTTTGTACGAAGTCACAACCATAAGGAACTACTTCGCGGAGTTGCTGGCAGACCGCTCGCCGCTGGTGCGCATGTTTTTCTTCGACACTGTTGGCTACTGGCTGCTCAATTTGCAAGATAAAGCGGACTACGAAACTTGGCTATTTCCTTACTTGCTGAGCGGGCTCTTTGATTCATTCCGGCCCATTCAGCAGCTCGTGTTTCTCCTTTTGGAGCAGCTCGGGAGGCACTACGAGCAACTTCACGAAAAGGATTTGAGGGAAATCAAACAACTCGGCACTCCGGACTTGTGGAGCTACGGGGGAAAAGCCTTTCTGTCTTTTCCCCTGGGCGGCTGCTGGGCCGTTTCGGGCGCTGCCAAAGCGCGCGAAGAGGCGCAGCAATTTGCTGCTTTCGTCAGCTCCTACACTGAGCGCCTGCAGTCTCTGGGCATCGAAGGATTTTCTTTAGTTGAAAAAAAACAAAATCAACTCACAGTCCCCGGCGAGGAGCTCGTGGGCGACCCCCCCAGGCCCTGCCTGGGAGCCCGCACTATGGTTCGGATATATTTCCGGCGTTTTGCAAAAACCCTTTTTCAGTCCGTTTCAGATTTCAAAGAAGTTTCCCAAACCGCTTCCGCCCGCCTCCTGGTGGTTTCTTTCGCCTTTATAGAAGAAGCTGCTGTGGAATGGCTGGACAGCTGCTTTGCAATTTGCTGCAGAGTCCTCGCGGCGCCGCAGCAGCATGCAACAGCAGCAGTGGAGTCGCACAGAGTGGCTCTGCAGCTCTTGGGGGCCTTTGCCGACCCGGAAAACTACTGGGAAGTTGCAAAAGAAGCTTTAAGGGAGAACGTTCTCCAGGAACTTCAAGTTCAAGTTGCAACGCTCAGCAGTCTGGCCTTGATGCTACAAGGATCCTTCATGGTTCTCAAGAAAGCCGCCGACCCGAGCCTTGGCCTGGGCCGCCTGGGGCCAGTTTTGCCTGAAATTGCCCAGGCGCTTTCTTCCAGTCATTTGCTTCAAGAGCCGTATCTGCGTTTTGCTGCTGAGGGCCTGACGCAGCTTGTGCAGGTTCTGGTGTCTGGAGTTCGAGGGCAAAACGAAACTCTTTCGGAAGAAACCTGGCATCATTTGCTCAGTGTAACTTGCTGTTTAGCAGCACCTCCGAGGTGTCTGGAAGGAGCAGAAAACAGCCAGCTGCAGCCCCAGCTGCAGCAGCTAATGACCGACTTGGCTTGTTGCCGCAAAGCTACAAGGCGCATGCCGCAGCCCCACAGCGACGCAGCCACACTGTGGGCCTCAGTGGACATTCTGCGGGGCATCCCGCCGGCCAACTTAGCTGCTCTCAGCACCTACATAATCCACTTGCCCAGCTGCCGCCTCCTTGAAGAAAAAACTTTTCAAGTTCTTTTCGGAAAGCTGCAGCAATGTGCGGCAGCAACAGAGGAAGCTGCCACGAGGCGCAGCTGCAGGCGGGCGGCTCTGCGGCTCGTGATGCGCCTTGCGCAGCTAGGCGCAGCAAGCAGCAGCAGCAGCACAGACGCTGGGACCCAGATGCCACAGCAAAAGTGCCCAGCGGCATCTCCAACCGCTGTTTCACGCCCCAGCAGCTCGGGCGTTGCGGGGACTGCAGTAGCAACAACAGCAGCAGCAGACAGCAGCAGCGGCGCCGAACTGCAAAACGGCGAAGACGAGGAATCAGAACCTGTGCGGAAACTCCTCGACTGCCCGGTGGCAGCGGCCGCCGGCGTGCTGCAGCAGCTGCTGCTGCGGCTGCTGCAGCAAGTGGAATGCGCCGAAGACGCGCAAGACGCCCTAGCAGCCCTGACAGAACTTTTGACGCTGCCGGGCCTGGATAATGTGAATTGGGGAGAAGCGGTGCAGCAGCTGCTGCTGCTGTCGGGGCTTTCTCAGGACTTGGCCCGCTTTCTGGGCTGCCCGTTTCTGCATACTAAGCTATTTCGCAGCGCATGCATGAACTACGCTCATCATTCTGCTGCCACTTATCCAGACAAGAATCCCGGCGCAGTTCTGGAAGAAATGCCACTGGGCAAGCGGCGGGAGCTGCGGCTTGCTGCGCTGCGAGCTGCAGCAGAACTCAAACAGCAAGCTGTGCTGCTACTGCGCCTCTGCCTTCCCATGCTCGCTGAAGATCGTAACAGCCTCTCAGCCCTCGTCTACGGCACCTTTGCTGCGCTGCAACCGCCCAGCAAGCTGCAAAAGCGGCCGGACGCATGCAAGATGGGCTGCTGCGATGCTGCCAAAGAGCACGGAGGCACTGCTGCGAATGCTGCTGCAGACGGTGCTGCAGGTACTGCTGCAGACGGTGCTGCAGGTACTCCTGCAGACGCTGCAGCAGATGGTGCTGCACGAGCTGCAGCAGACGTTGCTGGAGATACTGCTGCAGGAAATGTTGCAGACGCTGCTGCAGACGCTGCTGAAGACGCTCATGCAGGCGCTGTTGCTGCGGCTGCTGCAGACTCCGCTGCAGAAGCTCCTGCAAATGCTGCTGCAGAAGCTGCAGCTGGCGGTGCTGCAACCGCTGCTGCAGACTCTGCTGCAGACATTGCTGCAGGCCGGTCGAGCGACACTGACAATCAGCCAAATGCGAATGAAATAGAAAGGACGAATGAAGAAGAGGCTGAGGGAAAAGAGGAGGTGTGCAGTTTTGCCCAGTGTACAGTATCTTTGCCGTTTGAGGCTCAGAGCCCTTGGCTTTTGTTCCAGATTGCAAGTTGCCTCTTTGATACTATTTCCCTCTGGATAGTTCCAGAGAGGGGGCTTCCCAATGAAGAAGAGGGCCTTCGGAAATCCAAACAAGTCTTTGAAATGTGCAGCCCAGACTCGCTGCTGATGCCGCGGCTGCTGGCGCTTCCGATGTACAGCCACCTCGAGCGGCTCCACGCAAACCGCCGCCTCCTGGAGCTGCTCTCAGAAAGCTGTCTTTGCCAGGCAGTGGACAGCTGCGTGCGGCAAATTTTGGACCTTAAGGGCTCGTTTTCTGAGGGCTTTGAGGCTTATTTGGAGGCGCCAGAGGGGCCTCCCGGGGCCCCTTCTGGGGCCCCCAAAACCCTGAAGGAAGCGGTCGCGGCAGCCAAAAAACAGGCCGCTGCTGTCTCCCTAGAAACCCAAAAAATGCAGGCGATCGCTGCAATCACACAGCTCCTCAAACTCTTTGGAATTGTCTGCCCCAGCGCTCTTCAAGAGTGCCTTCGGCAGTATGAGGCTCGAGGCCGTTTCAGCCGCTGGGAGCTCTTAAGTCGAATCTTTAAAGACACCAACGGCTCGCTTTCTGACAATTAATGGGGCTTTTTGCAGTCAAAAATTGAATTTGTTTCTCTAATTCATGAAACCCTTGAAAAACCCTAGAAACTCTGCAATGTAAACGTTTTATTCTGCTCGCATCATTCCTCTGGCTCTTAAAACCCGCAGATGTCTCTGAACTGTGAAGGTTTTGCTGCTGCTAATTGGGGGCTTTGCTCAAGTAGACAGTATTGAATACTAACTTTTGGCCCAGCTATGGATGACCTCTGCTGCATCTGCTTCCCAAACGTCTGAAGTGAATTTGAATTGCTTTGGGGCTATAGGCTCACGGTTATCATTCAGAACATATGAATAAATATGTTTTCGGTACATTCGTACCATACCCCTTAGTGGTTTGGACTGGAAAGGCTCAATGGCTTGTAATAAGGTTGTTGCAACTTTTCAAAGGACTGGCTGCTGGCCACCTGAATACTTTCTACTTGTGCTTTCTGCCGAGCAGCAGATCTAAAATATTTTTGAGCGCCTGTGTCTTTCGATTTCTGTAATGCGGCTGCAGCTGCTTCGTGGCATTAAACGCTTTCAATTTAGAAGAAGGGAAATTGCCCTAATGGGATTAACCTAGAAGCCTGCGCAGAAAACAGTGCTGCGCATGCAAGCCTCACTCTCTGCCAATGTGAAGCAGTGCTGGCTGCCGGCGCGCCACTGCTTCCTGCTGCAGCAGTACAAGCAAAATGCTGCTGCAGCAAAACTCTAGCTAGCTAGCTCAGCCAAGTCCCGTGCTAACGCTGCACAAAGCCTTCTGTGCTTGTTTCACTTTCATGGCTTGGAAGAAAAGCCTCTGGCGGCCTGCGAAATGCAAAAAGACTTACCACCAGGCCGCCAGAGACCCTTTTTGCATGCCAGGAAGCTGAAGCAAGCACGGAAGGCCCTTGCAAGTTGCCACTTGAATATTGATTCTGGTCTGAGCCCAGCCTT